TAAAAAATAGTTGAATTTTTATGTAACTTGGCCGATACTGGGGTTCCGAGTCCCTGCATCGTAATACGTTTCCTACGTGTGTCTGCCATGACGGCATCAAAGCCATTATCCAGGGACTTAGCCGGATAGCGGACAAACTCCGTTGTCCACCGTCACCGCGTGGAGGTACCCTGGATGCAGACACATGTAGAAACATAAAGATATTTGACCACCGTACTATATCTGCCATTTTACATTTGAATAATCTAACGTTAAATTCGTAATCAGCGACTCCAAAAAACCCCATGATACCAATTTTTGTAAAAATCCAACTACTTTTTAAAAATTTGTCCGCCATATTGGATCCGCCATTTTGAATTTGAATAATCTGACGATAAATTTGTAATCAGCGACTCCCAAAACCCCTAGATACCAATTTTCGTAAAAATCCAACTACTTTTTAAAAATTCGTCCGCCATATTGGATCCGCCATTTTGAATTTATTAAATCTGACGTTAAATTCGTAATCAGCGACCCCAAAAACCCCCGAGTAACAAGATTCAAGCAAATCTGCCATTATTTAAAAAATTTCTCCTGTCATATAAAATCAGCTATGTTTTTTGAGGTTATGTCAAAATCCTGACGTGATGGAGCTAAACGGACTTCAGATTCGTGTTCAGCGCATCAAAAGTACATCAAGAAATGATGGTCTCATTTCCCGGCCCGGGTATTTTTTTTTTTGTGTGGCTGTGTAATTTATATTATTTATTATAATTATTAATTAGAAAAATTAAATTAATATATTTAATTATTTCATAAGAATTAATTAATTTTGTAACTAACAACTTTCTTAATTTAATATATAATAACAATATATAGGGGAGATGTATGCAGGTTGAGACAGTTGATATTATATTAAAATTTTTATTTTTTTTTATTTATTTTTTTTTCTTAGGCAATGTTGATGCCCTGGACAATACTTTTTGAACATAAAATAAAAATTTTTGTTAAATGTTTTTTATTTAAAAATTTGCGCAAAAAAAATCCCCCGTCTCAACCTGCATACATCTCCCCTAATAATAATATCAGTTACGTTAAAATGATTAAAAATTAAAATTATTGACAATAATATATATCAAATCAAATTTTATCTAAAAGGATTCAAATTTATTCATTTTCACGCATTTTTATGTGTAGATTATAGAAATAATTTTTAAAAATTAATTTATGGTGTCTGTTACATAAAAATCATTCTGTATAGGGTTAGCCGGGGTAAATCCGAACGCTTTTAGTAAGTTTCAACAATAACATAAGTTTTTTCTTTTAAAAGACAATACTTCCGGTATTCTGGTGCATAAAGTTGTTACTTTACTTCCATAGAACAATTTTATGGGGTAGCAAAAATTTTTGATAAATTACAATCGCAGGAAACTTAGCGTTCGTATTTACCTCGATACTTTGCAACTTTCCTAAAATACCGGGGTAAATACGAACGCCACTGTATTTCAGAAAAATCTTAGGGAAAATAAATTTAAAGTATTGCAATTGTTAAACTTATATAAAAACTCAAAAAAAATACGATAATAAACCTATTATGTAATAATGCATCATATATAAATACAAAAATCAAACAGGTTAAAAATTAAAATGCATTACACAATTAAAACCTTCAATAACTTTATCAAATCATAACGGATTTTTGCAAAACTTGCTACAGAAAGTATTTTGGAGTGATTGAATGTAAATACAAAAATAAAAGTCAAATTTTTTAAATTCAAAATGGCGGACTTTCCTAAAACTTATTTTTAAAAATGATCAAATTTGCTAACTCCAAATTCGTAATCAGCGACCCTGAAACCCCCCGAGTAACAATTTTCGAGCGAATCCAATGAATTTTTTAATTCTCGTCCGCCATATTGGATCCGCCATTTTGAATTTTGAAAAACTGACTTCAAATTGGTAATCAGCGACCCCAAAAACCCTAGAATACCAAATTTTATTATGATCCTGAAAAACTTTTTTCAACAAACCATTTGGCAAAACAAAAGTGGAACACTCCTTCAAGAGAACAGAGATTAAGTTTCTGCTTATTAATTACTAACGAGGATACATATAGAGAGAAAAACTTTTTTCTATGTACTTTTATAATGTTAAAATAATAGTGTAATCAAATAAAAACAATTTTTGATATAAGAAAAAATGATTGAAAATACCGTTCGGATTTACCCCGGTTTTCCAATTTTCCGGGGTAAATACGAACGGTCTGATATTATTAATAAAATTTTACAGAAGGCAAAAATGAAAAATAGTTTCTGTTCTAGTATTCATAACAAACAATTATAAATAATAAAATGAATTTTTAGCTTCTTTTTCTTCAAATACGAGACAAAATGCTGAAAGAGTGTCATCTTTGATTTTCAATCTTTTTTGCATTACTCGTTATCCTTGTTTATGCTGTTGCTAATTAACAAACGAAAAATGGGATAATACTTAGAATCTCTTGAGAAGGATCTGAGATAAAAATTCTCATGTCCAACTTATTTTTAAAAATTTTAATTAAGCTGAAATAATTAGCGTTCGGATTTACCCCGGCTGACCCTATGTAGGTTCTAATGTGATAACGTTAATTTAATTAATATTGGAATTAAATAAAAAATTATCAATAAATTACGAAATTTTGTTTATTTAACTACAATTTATGACAATAAAATGTATACGTATGTGTTAAAATAAATAAGGCAGTGTATGCTCTTTCTCTTACTCTCTCGCTCCCTCGCTTTCTTTTCTCTGCTTTGTCAATAACGTTTACAACTTATAATTGTATATATATAATAAATATATATAATATATAGCTTTCGTGTAATATCTTACGTACTCGAGGCTGCTGTTTTACATTTTATAATCGTTCCTTTAAAAAAAAATCGAAGAAATAAGAACAACAATAATAATAATTTAAATATCACGCTGATAAAGGATACGAGGAAAAATATTTAAGCAGTCTCGATATTAAAATTCGCTTTAAAATATTAAAAAGAATAATTACAGAATTATATTTCCAGTTGTTCATTCTATAAGGTAAAAAGAAGACGACCATTTTAAACGAAAAACACAGTCTCTTTCTTTTTCCTCTCAATTATTAATAATGATTTTTTAAGTCTCGCTTCAAAATATTAGACACAAAAAAGAAAGAAATTTTTGGTTATTTAAATGGAAAATTAGTTTTTATGGAAAAGATGAAAATTGGAAAATAATTTTTTTTTTCAATAAAAATAAAAAATAGAAAGAAAAAAATTACGTATTTCAATTATATTGAAATTTTTTAAGTTTTTTAAATAATTAAATTATTTTGTATTTAATTTGATTGAATAAGAAAAAAATTATAAATTATCAAATCACTAAATTTTTGAATGAAATGAATTTAAAAAAATTTATTTTTTTAAAGCAATTGAAATTTTTGTTTTACAAATTTTCTATAATATTGAATTTTTTAAATAAATGAATTTTATATTGTTAACGAATTAATTTTTTTAATAATTAAATTTTCTTTTTAATTAATTAATTTTTTCAAAGTGGAAAAAATTCACGAATATTTTGTTTTTAATTTATAATCGAAATAAGGTTTTTTTTGTACAAAAGAAAATTGTCAAAATTTTTGCTTTTTAAACCATCAATTTTCGTAAAATAAATCAAAATAAATGTAATTTATTTTTAAAAAAATACTTTCTAAAGACAAATTTTGTTTTGTGCAATAAAAATGAATTTTTGACAAAAAAAATTTTTTTGTTTCAAAAACAATATTCCTAAGAAGAATATGAAAAAAAAAAATTCAAAAACTCAAATTTTCAGAAAAAATACAAAAATATTTTCAAGAAGATGAAAAATTTTACAGACTAAAGAAACAAAAACAGCAAAAGAAACAATATTTTCAAAAATCCAATAAAAAACAAACTACAATATTTTTCTCGTGAAAAAATCTTTTTTTTCGAATATAATACAATTTTTTTTTGTGAAATACAATATAATAAAATTAAAAGAACAAAATTTTTAAGTAAAAAAAAAGACAAAATCAGTTCTTGACAATCACAAAAGAATAAATTTTCGAGATATGTGTATATAATAATTTTTTCTTATTATTTTATTTAACGGGAAGGGGAAGCCCTGAAAGAACAGTCGAAAAAAAAAATGAAGATCCCACTTTAAGTTTTTCCGCGCGCATATAATATTTAAATTCTGCCATATTTGGTCCATATTTAAAATTCTCTATCTTATTTTACTTAACTCATATCACACCTTAATGCCAAGGACAATTATAATTAATATGGACAGAAGAGATCAGAATCTTTAAGCGAGATCTTCAATTAATTCTTAAAAAAAAAAAATTTGTTTAAATAAAAAATTGAAAATATTTTTTTCGTAAATAAAAAATAATTAAAGAGCGATTTTTTTCGTTTCGCGACCTCCCATTAATTACCTTAAGCCATTAGAAAAAAAAGGGAATTTTACATTTCTTCGGTTTAGAGAATTACAATTTTTTTTTTTTAATAATTTAAACGACAAAAGGAAAAATTAATTACGCAGGCAAAGTACAAAAGCTACTGTTAAACGAAGTCTCTTTGGTTTCAAAATCGCTACTCTCTCGCATTACACAAATCGTAAAATTGTTTCGCGAATCGAAACCTTTATTTTTTTTTCTTTAAATTAAGATACAATTTATTCTACTCAGTTCTTGGTTTTTTTTTTGCACCTTTTTTTTTGCAAAAAAATTGGTTTTTCTTTATTTTAACCCTTAAGTTGGCAGCATACGAGGAATTTTATTGAGAATTTAATGAATTGATTTTTTTCTATTTTTTATTTTCTCTTTCTCGCATTTTTCACTTTCTCACTCACTCTCCTTTTTCTCACAATAAATACGCTATAATCGAACATTAAAGATGAAAAAATCAGTCGGATTGCTGATCAATTAATTGTCTATTTATATAGGCCAATCAGCGAATTAATCCGTTAGGAATTTTATTTTAAAAAACAATTCATTCATTCACACAAAGAGTTACAATTCATTTAATTATTTTATGAAACTACTGTCAAATTGTTGACGATTTAGACACTATCGATTATAATGAAATTAATAATTTAAGAAAAAATGTCATGGGAATTGCAGAAAATTTATCCAAGAAATGCATAATGACAATTGCAAATTTTATTAACGATTTTGAAGGTTTCGAACAATTCAAAGAAATTTCTAATTATCAATTATCTATTCATATTAAAATTAAATATGTTGTTTTATTGTAAGTATTTTAGTATAATTTATGTATTAGTAATTAATTCATACCTGAGCAAAAATTATTAATACGCGATATATAAATATAAACAAAGAAACGGATAGAAAATTTACGAGATTTCTTTTTTGAATTTTTCAAAGTATTTAAATTTATTTATTAGTTCTCATATTTTTAATTTAGTGAAAATGGAAAAGAGATCATAGTTAATTTAACAATAAAAAAAAAATTACGTTTAATCAGGGAAAAAACTAACAAATTTTCAAATCGCATTTTGGTAACTAAAAAATATATGTAATATATATTCTAACCTATTTGTTATTATTATTATTTTTTTTTCATCGAGGTATATCGTGAATTCGAATCATCATCTCGAATTATTCTTATATTTAAATTTACAAAAAAAATTATTTCCATCAATGAAAAAAAAAATCATTAAAGAATTTTAATGTAAAATTCTCACAGTAGAAAAAAAAAACCCCGAGGCAAATTACTTGCTCTGTTTTTTTTCTCCCTCACGAATGAAAACAATTTTTTTTTACGATTTTAATAAGATTTACAAAAAAAAGCTGCCCTGCAGCTAAGTTCATCGTAGATATATATTTTTTTAAAAACATGAGAAATTCAATTATTAAATGATAAATATTAGTAATAATCATAATATTCGTAATGATATTAATAATTATAATTATAAGAATAATAATTATAATATTAATAGTAATAATAATGATAATAATAAAAATAATAATAATAATAATATTAACAACAATAATAAATTAACTTCACATGCGTAAGAACAAAAATGATTTTTTCTCATAATTTATAAGCTTAAGATTTGTATTTAAAGTTCTTTAAAAAAAAAAATTAGAAGAAAAACTAATGAATATTTAATTTGAAAAAATTTTTTTTAAAACTTTGTTAAAATAGTCAATAATTTTTATCGCGTTTTCAAGTCAATTTTCTCACATTAAGTTTTTTTTATATTATATATTATGCTATCTAAAGAGTTTTTAAAAAAAATTACTTTATTAATTACACAACTAAATCAATAAACTAAAAATTTAGCTAATTTAATGTTGTAAATAATTATTATTAAACAATTACTTAATTAGTCATGCGATTAATTAAACGTTTCTTTAAACTAATTCACTAATTAATATAATGAATTCATTATTTTTCACTAAAATAACTAACTAATTACAAATTTAATTAATTTATTAGATAATTATTTCACTAATAAATTAATTAAAAAGTTAATCAATTTAGTAATTAATTATTTTACTAATTAATTAATTGAATAATAAACTATTTTACTAAATTAACTAGTCAATTATTCACATAAATAATTAATTTTCCAGTAAATTAATTCATTTAATTAAATACTTAATTATTCTCAATTAGTTAATTAGTAAAATAATAAGGTTACTATTTAACTACTTGTTATCAGTTAATTATTCATAACATTGAATAATTTATATTAGGAGACTAATAAAATAATAAACTAATTAAGAAATTTGTAAACTAATTAAATAATTAGTAAACAAATTAAGCAATAAGTAAACGAATTATGTAAACTGATTAATTAGTAAACCAAATCATTAGTAAACTAATTAAGTAATTACTAAAGTTATTAAATAATTACTAAACTGATAAGGTAATTACTCAACAAATCAAGCAATTAGTAAACTAATTTAGTAATTGATAAATTAATTATTCGAATTAATTTTAATTGATTTACTTATTAGTAAATCATTTAATTAGTCAAGTAATTAACTAATCAAGTACTTTGCTCAGTAATTAGCTATTTAATTAAATCAATAAATAATTAAGTAATTATCGTGATTAATAATTATTTAGTTTAATTAAAAATACTTTCTTTTCTAAAATGATTATTATTATTATTAAAGGAAGAGATGTTTTAGCCTTTAATTGATCTAATGGAATGTACGAAAAGTGTACGCGTTTATAAAAAGCGTAGTTTGTTTTAAAATTATAAATAAGACGTATCGAATTCAAAAATAATTCTAGCGATTTTTTTTCTATCGAGTTCTGCTAAACGTATGCAGAAAAATTTTTCTGTCTTCAACCATTTTTTTTTTTTTTTTTTTTATTAATAGCAGTTTTAATTTAACTGCTCTCTAAATTCGCATGCTATGAAAAATTCAGTACCAAAAACGTTTTCGCCTTGTTTCTTTTTTTTAAGGTAACTTATGGGAGGTTTTTGTTTTGTTCTTCAATTTAGTTAGTAAAGTTTCACGTGAATTTCGTGACTCTTTTTTTTCCCTGTTTCGAATAAAATACTGTACACGTTGTTTTTTTTCTCGATCAAAAACCAATTCACGTAGTTTACATGGAATAATTTACATTGACTGAATTGTAAAACATTAACCAGTTAATTCGACATTGATATCAGTTAATTTTTCCTTTTTTTCATGTAAAAATTGGCAGTCGTTGCGAGATACGAATGTTTTTCGTTTTTTTTTTTTTTTTTTTTTTCTTCTTTGACGTTCAATAATAATTAATGGCCTAAGTGTCTTTGTAAACGAATTGGTTACCATACACGTTCTTGGTTTCCAAAGGCAACAAAATTTACAGAGCATTATCCATACTCTCACTGTTCCTCGTCACTTCTTTGTTGTCCTCTTTATAATTTTCGAATCGCAGTAGTTCCTTGAGCAAATCCTGAAGAATGAAATTATTACCTATTAGTTGGTGAAATCATTTATTGCTTTCTATTTATTGATAATTAAAAAAAAAGTTTATTAACTTTTATTATTTTATAATAAAATTTATTGTTAAATAATAATTAATAAACATTTTGTGTTTACATATTTTAAAATAAACCCTCACTTTTTATTCCGGCCAATCAGGTAATTTTAAGTTAATAGTTAGTTTCTCGCAATGGCTTTTTTTTTAAAAAAAAAGGAAATGACGATTCCTACTTAGAAAATTAAATTCGTTATAATTTCGTTAAAAATAATTTTTCAAACAAAAAAATACTTTTAAAAAAAAATAATAAAAATACTTTAACTTTAAAAATACATATTTCGAAGATGAAATTGATTTTCAGTTCCGATAATGTTTAGTCTTTCAGATTTTAAATAAAATCGGTTAAAAATGAAATAAATTTATTACTATCCAATTTTGCATCAAATTATTATGTTACCTCTCATAATTGAGGAGCAAAAAATAAAATAATTACCTTTGGCAGTGATTTTCTGTCGTAGACACGTGCATACCTTCCGACGCATCTGCTCAGTTGCACATAAATATCGCACAAGACTTCAATCGGAAAATCTTTAGTTACTCGAACCGTGTGCTGTAGAGCATTTTCAAGTTCAGTTTTGTCCACTAAAATTTTCTCATTTGTTTCCACATTAGTGAGACTAGAATCGCTCTCAATTGCAAATGACAAATCATCAATACTCTCACGTCTCGATGATGAATTTGAACTTGCATTTTCCTCTAATTTATCATTTGTTTTCTCCTCATCAACCATAATTTCCATATTTTCCGTTTTATTTGTATTATTCATTTCGTTAATGCTCTTATTACTATTAGGTGTGTCCTTGGAGTTTTCAGCTTGTGATTCCGCCTCGGACTCGGAATTCTCGTAAATATTCACGTGACCATTAAGTACATTTTGTGCTTCCGATTCAAATTCTTGGAATTTCTCAAGATCGATGCCTGAAAAAAAACGAGAATTTTTGTTTTAAATTATATTTAAAAAATTCAAATCTATTGTAGAATTAATGAATTATAAACTTTTTCAAAACAATATCCATTTTAAAAATATTGTTTTAACACATTAATTTTAATTCCCTGACAATTTATTTCATTTATTATTTATTACTAGAAAAATTAAACGCGCGCAAGCGCGCCAAATTGAGTACTTAATTATTTGTTATAAAGAAATTAAAGATTAATATTATTAATAATAATTTAATTTATTAGAATATTATTACTTATTAAATGATAATAATGAAAATTATATGTTTACAGGCCTCAGATTATACGACTTTTTTCAAAAATACGACTTTTATCGTCTTATTTTAATAAAATGCGACATTTTTTTTTACATTTGAAAAAAAATGTAAATAAAATACATTTTTTAGTATAAAATGTAAATCTTCTTCACATCTTCTTCAATTCAATTATTTAACAAATTTTGAACTAAAATGATTTGTTAAAGACGGATGTTAATTAACAAAAGAAAAACAAAATAGATAACTTGACGAGAAATAATAAATATTTTAGAAAAATACTAATTTTTATTACTTAACAATTCCGCTTATTTGGAAAGCGTAAATGCTCTTCGCTAAATAATTTTAGAATAAGGTAGTGGACTACCTCTCAGTAAATTATCAATCAATAAACCCGGATTGCAATTTTATTGCAAAAAAAACATGATTTTCTGCAAAAAAATTTTTTATCAAAAAATATTTTGACATGGAAAACGACAGTTAATTTGCTCCGGAACCCAAAATATCGCGTCCTCGAATACCTAGCTGCAAAACTATATAGTTGCGAATTTCAAAATTTAAGATGGCGGATGACAAAATGGCGATTTTCCACTAAAAAAGATTTAAAAAATACTATTTTGCAAAAAATAATATATTGATGAATTATTTTTTTTCTGCACCATATACTTATGTTCTTTGGGTCACTAAACTCGAATACGGTATAAGTATTCAAAAATTCAAAATGGCGGATCCAATATGGCGGACAAATTTTTCAAAAACTCAATGGATTTATCTGAAATTTGTTACTCGCGAGTTTTTGGGGTCGCCGGTTACGAATCAGAAGTTACTTTTCAATAATTCAACATGGCGGATCCGAAATAGCCTACAAATTTTAAAATTCACCGAATTTGCTTGAAAATCAATACTTATTGAGTTTTTGGGGTCGTTGATTTCGAATTACTTCACTTTATATTGAAATCGAACACATTTTTTATTACTGATCTACTATTTTATTACTGTATTATTGAAAAGTAACTTCAGATTCGTAACCGGCGATCCCAAAAACCCCCGAGTAACAAATTTCAGATAAATCCATTGAGTTTTTGAAAAAATTGTCCGCCATATTGGATCCGCCATTTTTAATTTTTGAATACTTATACCGTATTCGAGTTTAGTGACCCAAAAAACATAAGTATATGGAGCTGAAAATAATTTTCACCTTCAAAATGTTGTTCTTCAATGAATTTTAGACGACAAGTATTTTTTTATTTTGCTGAAAAAAATTTTTTCTTTAAGGTATTAGTCGCGCGCCGGCTCTAACCAAAAGTTTGTCTTGAGTCTGACTCAGTCTGTGCTTAGCAAGAGGTATAGTTCTGAGTCAAACTTTTTGAAGGGTACAGGTAACTTCCACTCAGAGCGCCGCGTTATCGCACGTGTAGAACTAAAGTTTTGATCGCGGCAACGTCGCAATCTGAATATTATTAAAAAAAATTCAAATATGCTTCTTTAAAAGCTATTTTTGAATTATTTATGATTAATAATTATGTATATAAATGCTTAAACTTTTTAAAAGTATGAGACTTACTAAGAATAATTAATAATTAAAGATGTGAATATTATTAAAAAAAATTCAAGTATGCTTCTTTGAAAACTAATTTTTAGTTATTTATAATTAATATTTACATCAATAATGTATTATAAATTGGTTTATAAAGTAAAAAATAAATATTTCATCAAAAAATAACCAACCAATTTAACGTTTCTCATTCTTATTTTTCTTAAAATATATGATTTAATTTAAAAAATTAAGAATTATTTAATACTAATCTATGTTGTGAAATTTTAAATATATTATTTTTTTATTCTACTCTATGAGATATTCCTACTTTCTAACTGTGTACTTTGCATGATTTTGAATTTTGTATGCATTCGCGCGCTACAGCGTTGCCAAGTTTACTGCTTTCCAGCAGTGGAACTTCATATAATTTAAAATTTTGTTAACTTTCTCCTAATATATTTATAGTTTGGTACGGTCAAAAAATTTCAGTTTTTTTGTATGCATTCGTTTCATGAGAATGTATTATGTGGTAGTTTTATTTTAAAATCTGACGACTGGTTTTCATTTAAATAATTATAAAGCAAATTCCTTACATGCATTAGGTGCTCCGTCCATGTAAAAAGTATCAACTTTGAAATGATATTTTAAAGCTTAGGAACGGTCAAAATCGATGGGATTGGTCTTATTTTGTAGATAATTATGTCAGAAACACTCATGCAAAATTTAAAAAATATCTGACGAAAATGATTTTACGCGACTAATACCTTAAGTTATAAGGAGTTCAAATATATAAGTCGAGAACTTCGTTTTTTTTAAAATGAAGAGAAAAAATCTTAAAAGTGATGTAACTTTTTAAGTAATTATTTTTTAAAAAGCAAAATAAGGTATGTTTATATAATTTTTGTATTGTAATGTCACTATTATTATTTTTAAATATGAAAAGGTCTTTTAGGTCTTTTAACGAGGAACAACTTTTATCTGAGACATTTTTTTATATCTAGTGTATTTTTTGAGAAAAATGATGTTTTTCTTTTAAAAAATATTAAAAAAATTTTTTCTCTTGTGCCAGAATCGGGCACAAGTTAAATTCTTGTGGGCAATATTCCTCCCTATGAACACAATTCCCAAAAAAATTTTGAGCAAAAAAAAAAGGTGGGGTTTTTGAGTAATTTCAAATGAAAGTTTTTTAGTAAAATGTCCGCCATTTTGTTATTTTTAAATATTTTTTAAATTTTCCAATGGATTTCGAAAGAAGAATAAAAGTCCTTTCAGATACAAAAGGAAAAAGTGAATTATCTTAATTACTTAAAAAGTTACATCACTTTTAAGATTTTTTCTCTTCATTTTAAAAAAAACGAAGTTCTCGACTTATATATTTGAACTCCTTATAACTTAAAGAAAAAATTTTTTTCAGCAAAATAAAAAAATACGTGTCGTTTAAAATTCATTGAAGAACAACATTTTGAAGGTGAAAATTATTTTCAGCTCCAACCAAGTCAAGCCTGTCTGATTTGAAATGAATTCGGTCTATAAAATAAAAATTCGGCTAAAAATAAATTATAGGTCATTAAAATTCAGTTAATTAAAAATTCAACCAAATTAAGTTTAGAGCTTATTCATGCGTCCATAAAATTTTAATAATAAATATTAATTGTTAAATAAATATTAATAATTGTGTAGTTCCTGCAAAATTTAATTATTTAATAAATTTTTTTCTAAAACTCTTCTTCAAATCAATTATTATTATTAATAATTTTAATAAAGATATTCAAAATTTAGGATTTTAGTTATTCTATACCATATTTTTTTGGAATTAAGGGGATGATAAAAAAGGTAAAATTTTAATTTGAATCGTTTTTACTCGAACGGGACCGATTTTTGAGTTTCTTGTAATAAGAAGTAAAATATTCCTTATAATTTCACCTTTGTACCATATTTTTTTGAAATTAAGAGGATAAAAAAGGTTAAAAATCTTTTGTCAACTAAGAGTAAAAAATTCTATTAACAAAACTCACCAGTAGTGTCACCATTAACTGTTTTAGGTGTTTGATTCTGATCGCACGTACTGTCCTCGAATGAAATTTTTTTCTTCTTATGTGGCTTTTTCACGTAACCACGTGCCCAAGCTGGTATTCGTCGTTTTCTTGAGCTTGAAAATTTTCTTCCATTCACAATTAATGAACCACTCGTTGATGTAGCATCTTTTTTCTCACTTTTCTCATTAACGGGTGTTGTTGTGACATCGACTTTTGAATTTTTACCATCCTTTATTACGTTCACGACTTTTTTCACAATTCTCCTATTTTTCGATATCTCACGACATTTGTCCTCAAAATCTGAATCCAATTCGGCTTTTATTAGAGCGTATGCATTATCACGAAGTGAACAGGCTCGATGTCTAATAAGTTTATCAGCTGGATCTCTGTTAAAGAAAGAGAAAGAGAGAGAGAGAGGAGGGAAGAGAGAAAGAAAAAAAAGAGAATTTTATTTTAATTATTCAGAAAAATAGAAATTAATATTTATTATAGGATCATTTGAACATTGAAAAGCGTGTGAGACTAATGACAAGTGGCATTCAATTTTTTTTTTTTTGTTGGAAAAATTTAGCGCATTTTTTTTTTAAACAGGAATCTAAACCGCAAAAATATCACATTATTCAATAAAATAATTAAAATTATTTTCAATTATCGAATCATATAGTTTAAAATATCGGAAAATATGAATATTCCCCACATTATTCCTGTCAGCATTTTTGTAACGTCGAAATAAAAATTATCGAACATTTATTTAGCAAAATTTTATGGAGTGGATTTTATAATGAGTCTAATTTTCATAGCAAAGAATTTTTCTATTTAACAGAATTCTGATAAATAAATTCTGATTTAATAGAATTTCTATTAAATCAGAAATTCAGTCGTCGGATCGACTTTAACGTGAAAAAAAGTCGATTTAATTCAAATTTAAAATTTTTGCATAATGGTAAAAAAAAATTCCGGAAAACAATTAACTTTTTGAAATCATTAAATTTTCAAAAAAATATTACAATTATTAAAAATAATAATTAAATTTTGAAAGAGTTACAGTTAAAATTTTTAGAAATAATTGAATTCCAAAAAATTTTTTTTTAAATTCTACAGAATTGAAAATAATTTATCAAATAATTTTAGATAATCTTTTTCTAAAAATAATTGAATTGAAAATAGTTTAAAATAATTGAATTTGTAAAGAATTTCATTCAAATTATTGAAAATAATTAATTTAGAAAATAATTTTAGTTAAAAATTTGTTAAATAATTGAAATAAAAAAAAAAATCTGTATTTTATAATAAAAAAGATGAATTTTGTTTAAAAATTTTGTAAAAAAAAAAGTAAAAGAAAGTCGAAAAAGTTGCATCTTATTAAAATAAGTCGAAAATAGTCGTATTTTCGAAAACAAGTCGGAAAAAGTCGAAGAAAGCGTATATAATCCGAGGCCTGGAAATTGTAAAAGATAGAAAAAATTGTTCGATATGAAAATTTATAAAATTCTTCTCTGAAAAATTAATTAATTAAGAATTCCATAATTCTTAATTCGACAGTACAAAAATTCGGGAAATATTTATGCGACCCAAAATATTATAAAATATTTATTCAAATTGAAATTATAAAGAAAAAATTCAGAAAATTGATCTAGATCAAATGTAATAATTAATTTATTATTATGATAAATCAACTCATTCATGTTGAAATTATCCTCAAAAAATTACCAAAAAATTTGAATAATTGGAATTATCTTTAAACTTTTTTAGTATAAATAATAATAATAATAATAATAATAATATTAATAATAATGATTGAAAGCCACTGAATCTACGATGCAAACAACAGCAATGGATTAAACAGGAAAGACTCAACTACCTCTTTAATATTCCGAGAGAGGGCCTATCGCGCAAGCTGACATGAAAAAACACACAACATGAATATAATGTCAGTATGAGGAAACGACCTAATGATGTGCTGCATAATTTCACACACACACACACACACCCACACACTCACACATATGCGGAATTTTTTAAATTTAAATATATGATCAATACCTTTTAAAAATAATTATGAAAAAAATTCGTCATTTTTTCTTTACGAGAATTTTATTTTCTAATAATTTATATCAGCGGGTATTGCAGAAACGCGTAAATATTCTCCCTTCTCTTTACTTTAAATATGTGAGTTTCCCATCTGTGTTCGATCGGTAAAGTAGATTAGGCGGGAAATATTCATTCGTATGAATTAGCAAATTCTAATTTAAGTCATTTAACAAATCTCCTCGAGAAGAAAAATTCGTTAAAATAAATAAATTCTCAAGGGATCAAGATCTATATTTTCATTTTAAAAAATTCCGATTATTCTGCATTTCAATATAGATATATATTTTTGTTCCATTGAAAAAACAAAACTAATTAAAAGTGCCAGATGATTGCAAAAAATAAAAAAATTAGAAAGTTACTTTCAACATGGAAAGTTTTTCCTTATTAACTTCGTCTCAAATGTTTAGTTCTTTTCTCCTCCATATTTACACTGATTGTTTTATATCTTGGCCAACTGGAATAATTGACATTGAATATTTCTTGTATTTTTCGGTGACTCTTCTAATTTTTTAAACAGAAAAAATGCATTTTTAATTCGTTAAATCTAAATCTGTACTGAGAATAATTGTTAGGTTTCCGAGAGATTTTCTAGCTTATTATTTGTTACCATTTTTAACAGGTCTAATTTCAATCTGACCTAATCTCCATTTAACATAATTCTTCTTTTGCCTGATCTTTACCTAATCCAATTCATATTTATCGTAATCTGTATTCAACCCAATTTTTATTTCACCTAAGTTTTATTAGATCTAATTCTCATTTGGCCTAATCTTTGTGTAACCTAATTCTTTTTTTTCTAACCTTATCGTCACTTAACTTAAATCTCTTTTGGCCTAATCTCCATTTAACAATCGTTAATAAACGCAAAGTATCGTAGAGAAAAAAAAACACAAATATATCTAAGTCTTTTTATCTCTTATGCTCCGCGTTTATGAACGAAAATACAATGAAGTTTAGGCCAAAAGATATTTAGAACGTGTGACCAAAACTCGTGTAGGATGTAGTAGGGCATTGACAAACAAAACTTCACAAAAAATTGAACATTTGTTAGCCATAAAAATGAAGAAAATATAACCGTTTAAAATCGATACAAGAAAAATCTATACAACATCCTGCAGATGTCGACTACTAAGGTTCTTTTCGCATGCTAGGACCATGAGTCCCTGTCGCTGAGACTTCCTTTTGTTTGCAATAAAATTGTCTAGGTCCCGAATAGAACATAAAACGCCCATAAAACTACGAATATCAGATTATAATTCTCTACATTTTTTACATTTATATATTATTAAATAAATAATAATTTCTTTTTGTTTAAAATATTAAGTGTTGCATAATTAAAAATCTACGTTATTATTATTATTATTGTAACAATTGCAAATGTTTATATTAAATTATAATTTTCTATAATTTTTTTATATTTTCAATTGTAACAATAATAATAATTTCTTTTAAACTTTTGAAATAATGGTTAATATATAAATTGTTTAGAATTAAAATTAAATATATTTTTTTTAATTAAAATTGTTAAATTGTAATTTTGAACTCTATTTTGCGATCTAAATGATATAAATTGCTGAATCGAATGTTTTGTGGTATTTTAAGGTCGTCAATTATGCATATTTAAATTTTTATTCAATTTCTAAAATAGTAGTATAAGTTGAAGTATAATTATGAATTATTCAAAAAATTCAAGAACCTTTAAAAACGAATTCCAGCCCAAATTAATAGAAGTTTTCTAGATTTATTTTCTTAAATCAAATATAAAAAAGTGAGTAATTTTGAAGAAATTACGATTTCTTTTTTTTAAATTTTGTTTGCAGAATTTTTGTTCATTTAGTAGATAACTATTTCTTTATTTTCCCTTATTGATTCTTAATCAATTCTATTAGTAGTTGCACGGAAAAAACAAACGAACTATTTTAGCACCAAACTGCTTTATCCTTTAATAGTATGTAACTTCATTTACCTATTAAAAAATGAAATAATGCTTTTTTAGTTTAAAGTAAGTCCATACTAAATAAGTATAATAGTTATACTCTTATAGTAATAATTATAATATATTAGATATGATCTAATATAATAGATAAAATAAGAATTTAGTTAATAATAATTAGGTTACACAAAGATTAGGACAAATATGAGCTCAAATAATCCTTCGTTTGTGAAAAAAATCATCTCTTGATGTTACATTACCTCAAATATAGGGTGACTGCCCCAGTGAATGAACAAATAGTGATTTTCGCAACTTTGTCTAGTTGTTATTTTTAAATGGAAGTTCAATGACAGCTAAAAAATGTAGTACTGTATTCGAGAATACTCCAATTTTTTAATAACATTTTTCCTTTTTTAAATAAAATAACCAGAACTTAATAATTAATAAAAATATAAAAAATTGATAAAAACACCAGTGAATGAACACTTAGAGCCAGTGAATGAACATGTTGTATCAGTGAATGAACACTCCTTATTTTTAGATCATTTGCTACTTCAAATATTTTGAAAATTTAAAAAGATTTATTCTTTATTACCTTTTAAACAATGAAGTGACATCAAATATAACCTTTAAAATATTTTCGATACTTATAGGTCAGATAGTGGCCATTTTTAATATTAAAGTAAAACTTTTGGGGTTAATAAAACAGCGTAAATGAAATATATATATTATTTAAATGTAATTCGTAAATGTATTTCAAACTAAATGTAATTAAAATGTAATTATAATTATATATTATAATTATTATTATTATAGATTATTAGATTATTATAGATTTATTTCTCAATGTACATCTTTTTGGATTTATACATATTTCTTACCCACACTGTTCCATATTAGCTTAAAAATACTAAAGTTACAACATAAAATAAAATATTATTTTTTTAATAATACTTTGAATACAAAAAGAGTATGACAAAGGTAGACCGTGAACCCATCTTCGATATTTTTCCCCAGCCAATCGTCTACTTCTTTGACTAATTGTTTATCAATCCTTGACTGGACCTTTCTTATCATTCTCCAAATTAACAATATAATCGAGGACTGATCCCTGACCTCCGCAGACGTAAGTCAATTTTCCTTCTTCATCCCCTTTTGTTCTTCTGTTCAGAACCGTCAATCCATGTATTTCACAAAATTTTAACAATTTTAATCCCTCACTATTAACTGTTTTGTCTTCTGATTTCCTAGCTCTTAAATCTACTGTTTCTATAGTTTCATGTGAATATAAATCCTGATCTTCTTCCTCGATTACCGTCTGCTTCTCCCCAATTCTGGCATTCCAATCTCCTATTATTAACA